CCATTTCCATTTGATGGTATATCATCAATAGTAGTGGTCTAGGTACGTTCATTGCGTAAATGATGTTTCACTTTCTTGACTTATTCGACTTTAATTTCACAGAAGAACACGATTCCTATTTCCATTAATTGTTTGAGTGTTTGTTGTTTGCTAGTCATTGTCTTCATAAATCAAAAGAACATAATTCTTTTTGCCTATGATGACCTCATAAGATACAATCTTTGAAAGGTCCCACCAAAAGTCTACTGTAATGTGTAGTGTAAAATGTATAACAAACTATAAACAAAAAAAATAGATTGGTTGATAACAAATTAATTTTGAGCCCCTTTCATTTCTTGAGGCAAGCGCCCTTTGTTTTCTCAAATAAAATACAATCATAGCCATGGATACTCAATTCTTCTTTACTTTTAAGGTGATGACATAATTAGATCACAAGGAACCAATAAAAGAAATAAAGAGACATGCACTCACTCATGATACATGCTTTATGCTGACAATGTATAAAGGAATAATGTTATGAAAACCATGGTTTTCGATATATCTGATGAGAATATGGATGCTAATTTATTAACTTAGGGTTCGTTTGGTTTAATAATGATAGAAAGGGAAACATATGAAGCGGACAGTGTAATAGAATAGTTAAGGTAATAGAATAAATTAATATATTAGTACATAATCATGTTCATATTGGCTAGTAAGAATGATATGAAACTTTACATGAATTTTTATTTTTGTATAAATAAAATGTGCAGTTTTATCTTTATAACTCTATATTATAAATTAACTAATAAATTTTTTCTACAAAAATAAAAAATAATAGTTCATTAAACTTCAAATGAGATTATAATATAAATACAATCTTTTATTGTTTTTCAAAACGAGAATTTGTTTTTTTAATTAAAATCATGTAATTTGTAGAAAAAAAAATACATAAATGAAAATAAGTTATATTAAAAAAATATCATTTCATTACGGAATAAAAAAAAATGAGCAAAGAATGAAAATTAACAAAAGAAAGAAATCATATTTTTTAAATAATCAAATATTATGACAAAACAAACATTGTTTCATTCTAATATAATGAACAATGTTATTCTTTTCTTTATACTATCATATCAAACACAACACCTTAATTAGATTTTTTCTCATTTAGCAAGATAAAATGTTATATGCAACTAAAATTATCATTTTTGAACAATGTGTCTAGCTAGTTCAATTTTACTACATACAAAAAGACTGATAACATGGAAACAAAAAATTGTAATTTTCTTTAATGTGAAAAAAATGATCTTTTTGTTAATTATACCGCATACCCAAAAACTATTTCGTACAAGTTATGCCCTAATTCAGATTTCTGGATCTGCTAGTAAAAATAAAATGAATGCCTTAAGAATATTACAAAACCAAAGAAATCCCATGAACTAATTAAATAGAATAATACTTTTAGCTCAAATTCAAGACTTTATACATCGAAATCTCCTTCCCTAAATTTAAACAAAATTGTTAGAAAAGAAGAAAAGCAATTTTGGTTTCTCTTCTTCAGCTATAATCATTAGTTCTGAGTCGGGTTTGAACCACTTGGCGGACTCTTCCTCAAACTAGCTTCTGCTGATGTTTCAGAGTCTTCCATGGCTGCACTACGCTTATTAGGTGGATTTGTAGAAAGTGTGGTGAGAGAAGACGTCAGTAGTAGCTTTCTTGATTGAGCTCGATCTTTGACTGAAGTAATGTCATGTTGACCATGGCAGAACAAGGATGATGATAACAAAATCAAAGAAAACAGAAGTACGAATACTTTGTAAGGCGCCATGGTTGATGAATGATGATTCTTGATAGTGTTGAAGAAAATGAGTTGATTCCTTCTTAAGAAAGATGGAAGAGGAAGACCATTTATTATTAGATGCAGCTTGTGCTAGAGTCTGACAAAGCATGCATGTGTAATGTTACCTATTACTAATATAATATGAAAATAAAGCATTGGAAAAGAAAGAAACAAGTGTAAAGTGTAGTCTCATAGAGTCAAAGATTGTAAAAGTTTATACTTTTTGTGAACTAAATACGCGTTTTAGATCATTCACTTTACAACCTTTTCACGTAAAAAGAGAGCATTGGCATGGGCATGGCCCTTTCCCCACAAGCTCCTCTTTTCTTTTCATATGTGGATGTACTTCCTCTGTAAAGTGAGACCCCTTTTCATCCTCTTTCTAATTGATGATGAACTCATTCAATCTTCGCTTCACCTCTTTTCTTCCTTGGATCATGTTAAAATGTATATGCATATGCAACTTCCAATCTGTGCCGAAAAATATGTTAAAGTGCATCTAGAGTCAATGTTTTAAGAACATGTTTTTTGGTTGAACTGATATGGTGATTGGTTTCCGATTCGATCGCCGGTTCAACCCGGCTTCCATAATTTTTATGTATTTTCTATTAATATACATAGATATATATAAAACCAAGAATTTACCTACATCTGGCAGTCGTACACTCCGGTTAACTTTATGGATCGAACGGTTTTAAAGAAATTGTCCGGTTCTATCCAGTCTAGAAATTGGCATAAAACCGGTCTTTGACTCTTTGTAGAACCGATCTCATCTCCGGTTTCCGGTCCGACCAAGTCAACCGACCGACTCGAACCGGTTTTTAAAACATTGTCTACAATGCATGAGAGTTTTTTCATTTTAAAAAAAAAAAAAAAAAAAAAAATACTAGTTCGTTATTTCTCTGTAATAGAGTAGAGGTTTTTCATTTTCTTTTTTATGGGTTGTTTCTATAGTTTGTTACTTAGTTACAATTTGGTGGAAAACATATAAGACCTACATTATTATTGATAAATCTCATGACAAAACCTTTTTGGAAAAACTTTGGTTTGAAAAAAGATGCCCCAATGACTTTTTATTATTATTTAGAGTTTTCGGTTTGAAAAAACTTCTAAAAATCATTTAGTGTGGATCTCTAATAAACTAATTATTTTATAATTGTTTTTAGGAATCTTCAACAAAAGACTGAAGTGTTAGTTGCTACATGAGTACAACAGTACAAGGGACAGAAATATAGATATATAAAGAAAAAAAATACTTTAATTAGACTTTTCACTTTATTTTAAGTGACATCAAACTCTGAGACAATTTAGGATTCATCATCAAACGATTCTTCATCGCTAAATCTTTGTAACTCTTTCTAAATTCTCTTTATATTAATCATTAGAGTTTGTTATACGTGAATAGCTTGTACGGTTTGTTGATATAGTAGTCTTTGGACTCTTATTGAGAAATAAAGTTTATGACTCAAAATTTGGGAAGTTATTAGCAGCCGAGATTGTAATGCATATAAAGAGCTCATAATTCTTTCTCATTATTGATTTGAGACAGTATGTCATATTCTGAATTTTTTTACCTTTTAAAATAATCAAAAATGGCTTCTTCTTTTTTTTCTTTTGAAACGTCAAACTATCATACTTCTAATCTAATCTTAAACACCATCTATGTCTCCTAGTGATTTACCTTTTAAAATAATCAAAAATGGCTTCTTCTTTTTTTTTTTTTTTTGAAACGTCAAACTATCATACTTCTAATCTATTCTTAAACACCATCTATGTCTCCTAGTGAGACTTGAACACAGAACCTCTCATTTTAGAAAGTCACTCATTACCGCTAGGCCAAAGGCCTTTTGGTCCCAAATGGCTATTATTAGGAAGCTTTGGACCATAATGGTTGTTTTGGAAAAAAAAGGGCCAACATAGATGGGTTTATTTCTAGCATTTGGCCTTAATCATATACGTAGATGAATCAACTGTGATATGTTTGACTAGAAATTGTTAAAAAAAAATGAAAATTAATAGAATTGAAGGCATCACATGCCTTCGGGCATGGTCCACACCATTGTATTTCGAAATGTTTAATGTCATCTTTTTTCAATAAAATATTTTGATTTTAAGTACCAATATCACATATAGTTTACATCTCCTATATTTGTTTAACTTTTTATTAGATTTAAGTCAAAAACAATTTTTTTTTTCTCGAAATTCCGGAATTGTTCTTCTGATTTCGGACTTATTCTTGAAATTCCAGAGTTTTTGTTTTTTTTTTCAAAATGCAAAGTTTTAGTCCGGAATCCGGAATATTGGTCCGAATATACTTTTTTGTTAGAAAAAATGTTTTTTCTTGGTCTGGAATGCCCATTCCGGACCAAGTAGTTATTTTGCCAAAAATATTTTTTTTTGGTTATTTTTTTTAAATAAACACTAAAAAAATGGTTAGATTTCTTAATTTCCCTAATAAAAATATGAAAGTAGGATGCGATAAAAATGTAAAATATCCATGACTTCTTTTTCTTACAAATAACAACAAAGATTAATTGAAAGATAATCATATGGTTAAAAGCAATAAATAGCAACGTACTTTTATTTATTTATTTATTATATCATCCTACTTTTATTTCTTCTATTACAACATTGTACTTTCATTTTTTTTCTTACTAAGGCATTGTAATTCGATAATCTTTAAAAAATTTCAACAGTGCAAATCCTTAACAATTTTTGTCGGTTGATGCCCAAAAATTATTTAAACAGGAGCAAATTATTCAAATAATTGGCTTAATTCAAGGATAAAGTTCATTATGAAACACAATTACAACTCTAAGATAAAAAATTTAACAATACATGCTCTTAAAGAAACAATTAAAATCCATAAAAGATACATGATGTTCTTGAATAAATACAACTACAAAGATAACATATAACAATAAGCAACATTAAATCGATAATAAATAGCATATAACTAAGGTATCATTTATAAGAGTAATTAGGAGCCAACAGTTTTATTTTTCTATACCTTTTGAGAAGGACTTAATGTCCTCGATCTTTATTTTCTTCAATTTGAGACATTATACTTTGAAAAATCTTCCCAATTACAGAAGTGAAAATTGATTTGTATTATAGAAAAGAATCAGAAAAATACAAACATACATTGTGTTCCATGAATCAAACAACTAAACCTCCACTAATCATCCATCAATCTTGATAATTCTTTCTTCTTCCAAACAACATTTTCATAACCAAATAACTTCACAAAACAAGAAACCAACTGTTCTTGAACCACTTCTTCATCAGGAAGCACAATATCAGTCTCTTTTGCCAAAGATGTGACATCTTTATCAGCAATTCCACAAGGCACAATATGTTTAAAATAACTCAAATCAGGATCAATATTAAAAGCTAAACCATGTGATGTAATCCCAGATGAAATCCTAACTCCAATTGCACCAATCTTTCTTTCACCAACCCAAACCCCAGTTTCACATTTCCTTTGACCATGAGCTTTGACCCCATAAATAGAAGCTAAGTCAATCATGGTTGACTCAAGATTTTCAACATATTTCCTAGCTCCTAAACCGATTTCTCTTAAGGAAATAATAGGGTATAGAATGGCTTGATGAGGGCCATGAAATGTAATGTCACCTCCCCTTTGTGTGTAATGAAGTTCAGCACCCATGGATTTAAGCTCAGATTCGGGAATAAGTAAGTTGTAATCTGTTCTACGTTTGCCTAGTGTGTATGTAGGTGGATGTTGTAAGGATAAAAGGGTATCAGAAATCTTACTGATTTTCCTATCGGAAGCTAGCTTTTCTTGCAATTTAAGGGCTTCTAAGTAATTGAGTGTCCCCAGCTTCCATACCTCAAGATTCCGAGGAATTCTCATTCCCTGATAAAAAGAATATCAGATTGAATTATCTCATAGCACATTTAAAGCTTGAGATCGTAGAAGGATATGCACTCATGTCTTGTTTTAATTTTTCGGATTTTAGTTCCCTAACTTTGATTTGGGTACAGAAGAATCACAGAAGCGAAACTCACTTTGGCATTATAACAAACAGGTTATGAGCACCAGTTTTCAATCTAAACGAAACGAAGAAGATTTGAAAAAGTGTAGATCTTTGGAAGATAAACAACTTTCACAGCTCTTACGCATCGATTGATAATAGAATTGAAGAATAAAGCAAGGAAAAAAAACGAAGATAGCAGGAAAAAAACGACACAGTGAATGTTTCTATTTTACAACTCTTATGCATCAATTGATAAACTCAGTGAACCAACAAAGTATTCTAACATAAACCAGGGAAGAGAAGGAAGAATAAAGCTAGGGGGAAAAATCGACAGCAGGAAAAAAAAACGAATATGGCAGGAAAAATTGAACAAAAACGAACCTAGGAGTGGGGTCGACGGTCTCCAGTGTTGCTGTGGGGGTGCGACGGTCTCCGACCGGTGGCTTCACAGGGGAGAAGGCGGCGACTGGGGAGGTCTCGCGGAGGAAACGATCGACAGATGGAGACGTCTGTGATTGACTTCGCTTTTGCTCCAATGTAAAGCTATTTCCTTTTCACTATTCTATCCATTTTCTTTTTTGGAAGAAATAAATAGTAGATATCGAAGTCGTTGTAGTATAGTGGTAAGTATTTCCGCCTGTCACGCGGATGACCCGGGTTCGATCCCCGGCAACGGCGACCTTTTTTGATAATATTTTTTTTAATTGGCGAAAGACCATGATGAATTAATGACAATAAATAAGACGAAAATGGAGAAGGATGAGGGCCCAATGTTCAATAGTACTTTTAATCTAATAGATACTTATATTATATTTTGTGTTTTTTTAATTAGTACTTTAATCTAATAGATATAATAGATAGATACTTATAATATATTTTATGTTTTTCTTAATTGAACCTTAACTTTTTTTTATTTTTTTGTGTATTTTCATTATTCCGATCTGGATCTTTTAGTATTTTTTCCAAAAAAATGTTGTAAAATACAAGGCATTTTTCGGAAAACCCTAAAAAAGTTAGGATTTATTTGTAAAAAGACAGAAGATTAGATGCTTTTTTGGAAAAATAAAATAAACTAAAATAAACAAAGTTGATGGTTTATTTTGAAAAAAAAAATTAATCCGAAAAAAGACAAATATAAGATCTTTTATAAAAATAACTCATTGTTTGACATGTGTATAATCCTCAAATAACAAAAAATAATTAAATAACTCTAGTTAAAATATATAGGATAAAAACTAGCAGATTTCCTGCAACTTTGTGGCTTCTTTGTCTCAAGTCCATATTCATGAGGTTTATAGACTACAGACATTTTACCGCCCTATTGTCACAAGGGTCTAATGCTTACGTACATACTTTTTTTTTTCTCTCGAAAAGCAAACGTTACATTCTAACACCCATCTAAAATAATATTAAAATCCAAAAACAAAGTCAAAAACTAACAAGTATAAAAACCAACTACATCTCCACAACAAACATAAACATACATACAACATATCACCATTTGTAATGTGCAAATGTTATATATCTACAACCACATTGCTCACTCATGAACACTTTTTCATTTCCATAAAAAAAAAAAAAATCTCATGAAGAGCAGGAGAGCATGCGGACACCTGGACGATAAGCCCATGCAGGAGGCAATCGCGCGTATTTTTCCATTCCAGGTTGCTCATCATACGGCCTTTCTATCACTTTAAGCAATCGCCTCACCTCATCAAAGTCCCCTTGTTCAGCCATGTCTATTGCACTTTGGCAAAGATAGTTCCTCAATATGTACTTTGGGTTCACTGAGTTCATCAAAGCTTTTCTTTCCTCATCTCCAACTCCACTAGCCAATAGCTGTTCATAAAAGTAATCAAACAAATTAGCAATCTAATTTTCTGTTTTATATTTATGTCTCACTTAGATCATTTTGTTAGACTTTTAGCTTAATGGTTTGGTTTTGTACTTTGCAAATGGTTTGGTTTTGTACTTTTGTATTAAAAGTGAGATGACCCAAGAAAGTCAAACTATTTTTTACCAAATGACAGAAATTTGACTGTTTTTGAAAAGGGGAAATTTCAGGAAATGGCAACGTACCTTACTCTTTCTATCAATATAGGCAATGTACTTTATTTTACTCATAATAGCAACATACTTAGATTTCCTTACCAATAATAGCAACGAGTGGTGATGAAAATTATAAACTAAAGGGGCCAAAACTAAAAACACCCTAACTTCAAAACTACAGGGACTAAAACTGTACTTAGATGAAAATTATAAACTACAGATACCAAAAATGTAACTATTGACATTAAAAATTACAGGGACCAAAAATATAATTATTGGAATTAAAAACTATAGGGACCAAAAATGTAATTGTTGAAATTAAAAACTACAGGGACCAAAAATGTAATAACTGGAATTAGAAACTACAGTCTACAGGAACTAAAACTGTAATTATGCAAATTAAAAATACGAGGACCAAAACTGTAATTATCCTAAATTAAAAACTACATGGACCAAAATTGTATCGAACGCAAATTAATTAATGTAAACTATAAACTACATTGACCAAAACTGTAACTATTAAAATTAAAAACTATAGGGACCAAAACTGTAATTAGGGCATTTCCTGATATGAAAAATAAAATACATTGCTATTATGAATAAACAAATATAAGTAGGTTGCTATTATGGGCAAAAAAAAAGTAGGTAATGAAGTAAATTGCTATTATTATTAGAAAATCAAAATCAAAAGCACGTTGTTATTTATTTTTATTATTGAACTTATTTAATGACATTTGTCAACGAATATTCAAGATAATCAGATTTTACCTCCTCTATGTAAATTTTGACCCAACTAATCCAAGCCTCTTTCCGCTCTTTTCCAATATCCAACAAAGCAGCTTTGAGTGGAATCAGCAATTCCTCTTCTGGAGTACTGGAATCAGCTTTGATGTTGGAAAGTAATCTAAAGAAATTCGTGTAGTCAACTTTGTCAACTGCCATATTGTTAAGCAGTTTGCTTATCAGTTGTTTATTATATTTTGGTAGCCCGAGTTTTTTTGTCATTACTGATTGGTAGTCATCCATAAATTTCGTTCCATATCTGCACACAAAAAAAAAATGAATGTTTTGGGGAAGGAGCAAAAGGGTAAAAGGGTAAAATTACCTTTCGAGGGCGTAATCGGATTCTTTTTCGTTAATTAAGTGAGCAGATGAAAGAGTTGAAGCAAACTGAGCAATGTTCCATAACCCAACATCGGGTTGATTTGCAAAACAATATCGTCTTCCTGGAAGATCTGTAGTGTTTGGTGTAAAACTTGGATCAAAAGCATCTAAAAATCCAAAAGGCCCATAATCAATTGTGAGCCCTAATACACTCATGTTATCTGTATTCATCACACCATGTGTAAACCCAACACCCTGCCATTTTGCAATCATGGAAGCAGTTCTTTCAGCAACTTCCACTGCCCAAGCTGTAAAATTTTACAAAAATGTCAAAATCTATAAAAGTATAAAACAATCGTTCAGTTTAATCTTTATATGTTTTTTTTATTCAATTAAGTCTCAAAAACCGGTAATTGTATTTATTTTGACCCTTTTACCCGGTCAACAGGTCGTCCCACTTTTGACTCATATTTTAAATTTTATTTCAAATTTGGTGTAAAGTTTACACTTTTGGCCCAGATTTCAAAATTTTGTTACAAATTCATCATAAATTTAGTTTTTTTTTACATTTTTTTCAGGATTTTGTTACGAATATGATTTTATACAGCAAAAAAACATATTCGAAACAAAATTTTGAAAAATAAGATGTAAAAAAACTAAATTTATGATGAATTCGTAACAAAATTTGAAATCTGGGCCAAAAGTGTAAATTTTGGACCAAATTTGTTATAAAATTTAAAATCTGGGTCAAAAGTGTAAATTTTGAAAGTTGGATGAAGGTAAAAGAGTCAAAATAAATACAATTAGCGGTTTTTGAAACTTAATTGAATAAAAAAACATATAAGGACTAAATCGATTATGAGGTCAAAATATAAGGACTTTTATGGAGTTTTCCCTAGTTTTTTTTACATTACCTGCGTATTTATTTGAAGTTAGATCTACTACAGAGTCGTTTTCTTGGCCTGTTGAAAAGGATAAACTATCACTTTTGTTCATATTTTCTATATGAGGAAAATGGTGTCTGATTGTGTAATCAGCTAAAGCTTGAACAATTTTAAGGTCTTCTTTTCCTCGTGAAGCGTGTAGTTGAAATGAACCAAAACGTAAAAAAGATGGTGAAACTCTGCATACAGCTGCACCAGGTTCATCTTTTGGATTTCCACTGTAAATATATTACAGAAAATAAGCTCTCAAATCTCAAGATTCGTTTGAATGAAAAAGAATTATAGTTTAATAGTAGAAACTTACTCATAGAACATATCACGGGTGACATATTTTCCAGTTGTTACAAGGCTAAGTGCACGAGTAGTTGGGATTCCAAGACTATGAATTGCTTCACTGCAAAGAAATTCTCTAATGCTGCTACGAAGAACAGCTAAACCATCTGCAAACCTGCTATATGGAGTCTTTCCTGCACCTTTCAATTGAAGCTCCCATCTTTCATTCTTTGAATTCACAAGCTCTCCTAGTGTTATGGCTCTACCATCGCCCAATTGTCCAGCCCACATTCCAAATT